GTGCACTGTTTTCGTCAGCGTTCAGGGGATACGGTCAGAGTATTTCGCCTCATTCCGACACATTATCCGAAATAAAATTCATTTCGCCAAGATTCTCATATTGTGGTAGAATAGTACATGTGCATGCCAAACTGGGTGATCTCATGTCTACGCGTTTACGAGAGATTTGAGAAAATTGTAGGGTGTGGGTAGTGGGCGCATTGCAAACATTCTATGTTTATGCGGCTCACACATATTTCCGTAGTCTCACTGATGAGTCTAAGCAAAAATGAAAGGCACTTATCTGATAGCACCATCTACTTTGCTTTATCGTTCAATGCTTCTCCAAATTTCTGTCACATTTCTTTTTACCAGAGTCGACGGAGCGTTTACTGTCGAGGTCGCTCTGTAATAACCGTAATAGGAGTATCAATTAGTAAGAATAACAGTTGTTTGTGTGAAAATTTAACTACAGTTCAGCCCTGTCTCAACTTTCTCGGCCACAATGAAAAAGAAAAAGTGCTTCACGTTCGTTCACTTAACTCGATGACAGAAACATAGAAGCGCCAAAAGTCAAATAGAAGAGATTGACGAATACAAGTTGCAGTTAATTTAGTAGCAGTGATGATTAGATACCTGTGCTCAATTAGTTATCAGTTCCCAAAAAGTATCTGTTAGAACGAGGGATACACCGATGTACATGTGAGACGCGTGATTGCGATCGATTTGCATCAAACGCGCTTCACATGCGAGTAATCCCTTTACACATGATACTTGCTTTGTATGTATGTCAATTCTATTCACAGATTGTCGCATTTTGATGGTTACGTGATAACGGAATGGGCAAAAGCGGGCATGGCGGTAAACAGCGTGTTGCACAGTCATTTCGATCAGGTTTTGGCACGTCACGTTACTTTGTGTGTGTGTGTGTGTTTGTGTGCATTATGTGAAAATATTACCACATCGAATCATTGAAAGTGACATAACCTATTATCCGCAATCTGCAGTAGATATGGCGATCATCTGTGCCTCTCATATATATCCTTTCATCTGAAATTGCGTTGTCGAGGTTCCCGCAAATCTGAAACGAAAGGACCAAAATGTGGTGATAACGGAATGAAAACGAGCAAATATCTAACCATGCGTTCCCGAAAGTGATCGATAAAATCAACCGGCCACTAATTTAATCAGATATAGGTGTGAATTTCGTCGTGCATAGAACAAGTGTAGCGTAAACGGACAGCTAATCAAACCGTTTTCCATTTTACCTTCTCGCAATGTACCACAACCCACCTTTGCGATCTTAGGGACAACACCAGTTTACGATAACTTCCCTCCTTTTTGTACAATAACAAACGGAGAAGTTTCCCAAGAGCTCCGCGTGACTTGAAAACGTATCGTTTTACAACTGCTACGTTAGCATGAAATAGTTTTCCTTGTCGCTCACTTCATGTGGAGCGACTAATTGCCTCATGTCCTCTAGTTTACCGGTCACTCGATTCTTCTCTCTCTCTCTCACACACACTTGAAATGTGTTGTCGTGAAATTCGGACTTATTTCACTGTGATAGAATAGCTGAACTTCTGGTTAAATCCCTGTGACTTAACCAGCGCCGTGCAAGTTGAATCAATCAACCTGCACATGGACCAAAGATCCTCCACCTCAAAGGCATAAAATTGTCATCATATTCATCGGAGTTTTATGCCATGTTGCAACCCTCAAAGTGTTGGTTACTCTTCCAGGATAGGGTGGCGATGGCGCATTGGTTTAGTCACTGTCACCACCCTGTGCTTTGGACCTTTTGGTCCGAGATTTGAGCCTGGCCACCCCTATCCAACTTGAGTGGGAGGCAGCTTCGCCGTCGTCCGGTTCAATACCACACCTGACCGAGCGGGGCCTTATGTGGTTCACCGCTCCGAGTCCCGGGGCTTAAGTTGCCGGGTTCTATCACTGAACAGCAGGTCCTCGTGACTATGGGGTCCACTCCGTCTACCGTTCATCACACTGTGTGTATGTATGTGTGTGTGTATGTAAGAAAAAAGCCAACTTGCAAAATCATACTGATAATGACTTTCTGATCTTAGTGTTGCTTTCTTTCTTTAATGCCTCCCCCCTCTGGTTGAGGTTAGAAATATCCTTCTTGTTTATGTTTTTCAGGAAGTTCAAAATCGTTGCAATCAAATGGAAATCTGACTAACGTACCGGGCAAGGGAGAAAGATAATTCATTGGTATAGGTTATGGTCCTGCAAAATCCGAGATCGATTGGGGTATAGTAGAATCCTGCTTTCTCTTCTGAGCATCAGGGGACAGATGGTTGTTCAAAACCGTACACTAACTGGTCTCATTAAGTTATCCAGCCAGGATCACAATTCACGACTTCCATCTATCCAAATAACCCTCCCTCCAGACCTGGATGGAACTGTCATGGCTTTGTACAACAGGTTGGGTTATATCAACATCTTTATACATATTACAAGTAATCACCGTACACGAATTCTCCCGTAACCTTATTTGAAGATGAACCTCAACGCGCCAGTCCATTTTACTTACTGCCACAATTATGTACGCTATGGACAACATCTCAGTGCTGTGTGCGCCCTCGTAAGAAGGGGACCCTTTTAGACATCTGGCGGTAGAATCGTGTTACGGGTGAGAGTCCTAACTGAAGCGGCATAACGGCATAGTTTGTTTATTGGTTCTCGGAAGAGCTGCGATTGATGTTCACCGTTCTAAGCAGAAACTAGTCCGTTTGTAGTAGCCGTCTTTCTCAAAAGCGGTGAATCCAGCCTCTTACAGTCTTCTCATTCGCGTTGGTGTCTTTGTTTTTCATCGCCTCGGCTGCTCAGATCTTCAGATACCCGTGCATTATCAAACTCAACTGGTACCACCCATGGCTTGCGTGGTCTGAGGATCGGGTGACGTCATTTTCAGCTCCGATCGCCGTGTTGTTAAGGCTGATTTGTTACTTACAAAAATGTCTTAAGCTACTGATATGACCTGATCGGGTAACATCTGCCACGCATCAAAATGTTCCACGTATTTCAACAATTCCTTCCAAGCGGCGTGAATCGGCAGTCAGAGTTGGCGGGGGC